GAGCAGCCCATTGGGGAATTATAATTAATATGTTTTTCCAAGTCTGGATCGGAAAAAAGTTATTATTTAAATGATGTTATTAGTTAATCGAGGTTATATTGTATGTTTACCAACCATTCCCACTTTTATTATATATTTTATTTATTTATTTATATTCACTATCTTATTTTTCACTATTAAATTGTTATAACTTATATACCACAAAATACTAAGAAATTGGTTTTTTTTTTTTTTCAAAAAACGAGTATAAAGTCAAAATCTATTGCAATAAAAATTAGATAAAATAAAAAATTATAAAATTCTTAGTTAGATTCCTAAAATACAAGTTAGTACACTTAATTTCACCCACTCAAACACTTTTCCTTAAAATAATGTATAATCAATTCTCCATCCGTTTCAAGAGAAAATCCCCCACGGAAAATAATTCGTAAATTCAGCCCACACACACACACGAGATACACCGATACGTACACCCCTCTCTGCGTGCGTACACAGAAGAAGATGAGGTCACCGAGGAGGCCGATCCAGGCCGTGTCGACATGGGTGCGGCGGCAGCCGCCCAAGGTAAAGGCGTTTCTGGCCGTAATCAGCGGGATGGCGGCGCTTGTTATCCTCCGCGCAATCGTTCACGATCACGATAATCTCTTTGTTGCGGCTGAGGCTGTCCACTCGATCGGAATCTGCGTTCTTATTTATAAGTTGATGAAGGAGAAGACTTGCGCTGGTAGGGCCTTGTATTTTTATTTTGTATTTTGTTTTTTTGCTGTAAATTGATTTTGTTTTTTTACGTTTTTTGTATCAGCTGGTTATAATTGAATTGAGGATTGTTAGGGCTTTGAGAATTGAGGAGTTGGGGAATGAGGGCACATAAAATCTCATTATTCTAATTTTCTGCTTGTTTTTGGGCGAAAGATTGATTGTGCAATTTTTATTTTTACTTTGTCCTCTGAAGAAGGTGCTTGGGGGTGGGGTAGGGGGTGGGGGGTGGGGTGGGGGTAGTTGTATACTTGTTTGTGCTATTTACTTTATGGTTTTGATTTTTAGCTTTTGAGAATTGAGGATTTGGGGAGATGTTGCTCTGGTTTTTTGTATTCCTTGTTTTCTTGTTTCTATGTTAAGATGCCGACTCGATTGTTTAGAATTGCTGCTATTGAAAAGAGCAATTATATAGAGTGTTGAAAGATGGGACTTTATGTGTTTTCCCCTTCGGAATATTCGTTCTTGGAGATAGTGGTTGAATTATTCGACCCCATTTAATTGAATGCCAGAAAAGGGGAAAAGTTCATTTTTTTGTTGGAACTCTGTTTTATGGTGGTTATAATAATGGGAGTTAGTTAATACATTGCAGCTTTTGTTATGCACGGCATGTAAAATATGAGGGTGAACTATTGGTTGTTGCTTTCGGTCCTCCTTGGCATACAAATTTTAAGTTGTAGCGTAATAATTTGAACAGCATTGAAGTTTAGAATCATTAGTTTGTAAAAACAATTCGACATACATCTTGCAATGTGAGCTTATGTCTATTTTGTAATATTTCATTGACTTCGTCATATTTATACTTTAGAAATGCTAATCGCCTGTATAACTTGCATCGTGGCAGGCATTTCGCTCAAATCCCAGGATCTAACGGCTATCTTTCTGGCTGTAAGATTATATTGTAGTTTCGTGATGGAATATGACATACACACCGTGCTTGACATGGCTACACTGGCAACTACTTTATGGGTTATATATATGATCCGACTTAAACTGAAGTCGAGTTATATGGCGGATAAAGATAATTTTGCGTTATACTATGTGGTAAGTCCTCTTGCATCAATCTCGAGATCCCACTTCTTAGTGCTTCATTCATTATTGTCCTGTTTTGGTTTTTTGGATGCTTCACCCGTTTTTTTAAATTCACTGTTTGATAGAGAGTTTTCTGCCTTTTACAGCTGGCCCCTTGTGCTATTTTAGCTTTACTAATCCACCCATCTACATCGCATCACATCATTAACCGGATTGCATGGGCTTTCTGTGTCTATTTAGAAGCTGTTTCAGTGCTACCACAACTGCGCGTCATGCAAAACACCAAGGTACAATTTTCTTAAGGGTTCACTTATCGCACGTGTACGCTAATTGACAACACTATTCTTAAGTTTGTGAACAATTATATATAGTGTATGACCTAATAATGTCATCTTCAATGTTTGGGGTTTGCAGATTGTCGAACCATTCACCGCTCATTATGTATTTGCATTGGGTGTTGCGAGGTTCTTGAGCTGTGCTCACTGGGTTCTCCAGGTTTGACTTTGACACGAACTTCTCGCCCATAATTATTTAAAATATTTAAAATTAACCAAGTGCAGAAATATGTGCGTGTTTAAGTGAAAAATGAAACTCTTTATTTTGATGCCAACCCGCATTCGACAGGTTCTTGATAGCCGTGGGCATCTTCTTGTGGCATTGGGTTATGGACTTTGGCCTTCGATGGTTCTTATTTCAGAAATTGTTCAAACCTTCATTCTGGCCGACTTTTGCTATTACTATGTAAAAAGGTTTGATTTTTTTGTAACCAATACTAGTGTGTGTGCGTGTGTGTTTATTCTGCAAATAATTTGAATCGATTAAATAACCTTTTTTTTAAAACGTGCAGTGTTTTCGGAGGTCAGCTTGTGCTGCGTCTTCCTTCTGGAGTGGTGTAATCGGCTTCGTAATCTTATGTTAGTTCTTCTCTCTTCATCAGCAGAATTCTGATGTGTGGCAAAAGCTTGGTAGTTGAGGCAAATTAGATATATTTATATCAACTTACCAAAATACTATATTAGTTCGATTGTATCACTACTAATTTTGGTTTCGTAGAATGGATTTCTTTTTTTTTTTTTTTTTGGCAAGACTTCAAATATTTCTTACTGATTGGCGATCGCAATACTTTGCTTGACAATATATAGAGATCAAGTTGAGGTATTCGATAATCGGTTTGAATTAGATGGTCAAAAGCACGGTTCGATAACATAACGAATTAAATTTTCACTTTTAATTTTGTTCTATGAGATGTGAAGTTCGATTTTGACTTGAGCTTGATTATATGTATAAAAATCAAGCTACACGAGCTCGAGCTCAATCATATACAGTTTTTATAGCTCGATAAAGATTCAAACGAGATTGAACAATCCCGAATCGAATTTGATTCGATTTAAAGGAGCAGTATGAATTAAGTGAACCAAGATTGCATCTTCTGCAGAGAGTTCCTCAAAGCATATACATAGGGTATATTACTGCGACTCTCAAATTACGAAAAAATCCCTTTTGTTTAAGTAATTAGAACCATCAGTTAACTATGAATCTTCTTACACGTCCACCATTTATGGAGTTAAATTCGACTTGATCATCTAAATTACGCGGAATGTTCAATTTATTAGCATTCATATATTTGTTCGTTTTCAATTCTTGAATTAATTGTAGATATTTTGAGGTGACGTGGAAGGAAACTTCCAGAAAGAATACAGCTGTGTGAAGCACAAAAAGTAGAGTTTGAATACTAGTTTGTTTTGAGTTGGAACTTCAATTAAACTTTAGAAGGATTATCCTAAAAAATGGAACAAAGTATTATTATTTATTGGTAAGAGGGACCCTTAATTTTAAAGATACCTTTCCCAATAATTGTTGACTTCTTTTCTTAATAGTGATTCTTATCCATCATTTGCCATCTGTCATTGCTATCTTTTTGTGTGTGTTTCTGGGGTGGGTGTGAATGGGGCTGCTGATATTATTGCAAATACACATTACATTTTGGCTTTTCCTTTATTTATTTAATATTATTATTTGTACATTTATCAAATATTATTTAGTATCTCTTTTTTTTTTTTAAATATCAACTTTTCTTGTATTTAAAATTCTCATTCTCGTTTATTAATTAGTAATAACATAATTTGAGTATCATTTTAGGTGAGTAGGGTACACTTACAGGCTAAGTTACTAGTTAATGCCCACAGGAATTATAGTTTATTATTATTTGCATGCATGGTGCATGGCACTTTCCTTTTACTCTCTTTCTTCACATCCCTTTGTATTATTTCTTTCATCTCACTTTCTTCTCTATAAGTACTCCCCTTATAATCTCATCCAATTGCAACCATAATCTCTCTCTCTCTCTCTCTCTCTCTCTCTCTCTCTCTCTCTCTCAATGGCTATTACCAGCAGCAAAGTCCTAATTGCATCAATCTTTGTGTCTCTTCTTGTTCTCCAAGGTGTTCAAGCAATAATCCAACCCAATCATGTGGTAATTAATGCTTCTAATTCATGTAATAAATACAAGAACACTATTTTCTTATTGTGAATAATGAGTTTGCAGAGTAGTTGAAATTAACTTTAATTTGATCCCACACAATTTAATTACTTCCTAAACTTACAAACATTTATAAAATTGCTTTAAATACTAACTAATTCTTGATTTCTTCAACGTTTTGTTTTTCCGCAGACTAGCAGTGTCGTCGTATCGGAACCTTCAGACAGCTCAAAGATAGGTAAAATCTTACTAACTGATATATTAATTAATTAATGTTCTTGATTTAGTTATTACTTATATTAATCAATATTTGTTTTGTGTATGTATAGACTGTAAGGGAGCTTGTGCAGAAAGATGCAAATTATCAGGAAGGCCAAATCTGTGCAAAAGAGCTTGTGGGACTTGCTGTGCCAAGTGCAACTGCGTGCCACCTGGCACTTACGGCAACTACGAGGCTTGCCCTTGTTACGCTAGCTTGACCACCCGTAATAACAAGCCTAAATGCCCTTAGAGCCCGTTTGGAAGGACGGATTTGGGCTAGGACGGATTTTAAATCCACTGCCCAAATCCACTACGTCGTTTGGGCCGCAACTTAAATCAGTGGATTTCAAATACCCCTAAAAACCGATGGATTTGAGCCCATTTTTTAATGGATTTCAAATCCTCCCACAAACCTAGTCATTTGAAATCCACCCATCGTGACTTCTCTCAGCAGCCTTCAAAAATTAGGGATTTCTTCAATTATTGATCTTCTAGCAGGGAATATTCCTCTTCAACGGCGGCGCTCGACGGCAGTGCTCGACGGCGGTGATCGACGGTGGTGCTCGGCGGCGGTGCTCGGAGGCGGTGAGATGCCCATAGACCCTCTCTTGGACGCAGTGCCGGCCCTGATGGGAGGCCACACAAGCAGTTGCTTTGGGCCCCCATCTCAAAGGGGCCCCCAATTTTGTGTTTTTTATGTAATGTATACATACATACATATACGTATATAATAAACAAATATTAAATATATTCAAACACTCAAAATGAGTCCACGTGTGACTTATAAAAAGTGAAAGTGAATATTGGATAAAAAATAATATAATTAAATTATACTTGAAGCACTTAATTAATTTTAGGTTAAATATTTTCGAGATAATCTAAAATTCTTTATTATATGTAGTGAACTGTGTATTTTTTTTAGTAATATGTTAGAAAGCCAAATCTTTTTATTGTTCACTACGTAATTTTTTCAGAATTTTATTATTATTTTAATAATATAATAAACTTTTTTTTTTTTGAGAAAATAAATTAATAAACTTTAAGTTGAGTAAGAAGATAATGTATTACTAAATAGAAAGAAACTTTGATGATATAGTAAGAAACCATACCAAACTTTCAAGTAGGGGTGAGGAAAAAAAAATCGAGGAACCGAACCGAAAACCGATAAAACCGAACCGAATTGCACCGAACCGAAGCATAAACCGAATACTCGGTTTTCAATTTTATGTGAACCGAAAATTTCGGTTCGTATTCGGTTTTCCAGGTAGGAAACCGAACCGAAGAACCGAACCGACATCAATACGACGTCGTTTCATTAAATATATATATCTTTTTTTACTTGAATGAATTTCATTGATTTTCGGCCCTGTTTTGGGCCTACATTTGGGCTTGTCTTTTATTGTTTTTTTTTATTTCTGAATTTCGAGTTGATTTATTGACATTTTTGGGCTGATTTTCCGGCCCAAATGAGCCCAAAACCGAACCGAAAACCGAACCATTATTGAAACCGAACCGAGAAATTTATGAACCGAGAAGGAACCGAAATCGAACCGAAACCGAGAAGGAACCGAACCGCAAGGAACCGATCGGTTCGGTTTTTTGTTCTTTAGGAACCGAACACTTCGGTTCCGGTTCCGGTTTGTGCCTAAAACCGAACCGAACCGAACCGTTCTCACCCGTACTTTCAAGTTCGCTTAGGGCCCCGAAAATGTCAGGTCCGGCCCTGCTTGGACGGGTAGTCTACCTCGACTCCAACCTCGTCTTCGTCGACGACATCGCGAAAGTCGCGGCAACGCCGCTCCCGAACGGGGCCGTGCTGGCGGCGCCGGAGTACTGCAACGCCAACTTCACCACCTACTTCACGCCGACGTCTGGTCCAGCCCTTCTCTCTCTCTAATCTTCGCCAACAGAAAACCCTGCTACTTCAACACGGGGTTATCGTGATCGATCTTCAGAGATGGAGGGCCGAAGATTACACCACCAAGATTGTCGAGTGGATGGAGCTTCAGAAGAGGATGAGGATTTACGAGCTGGGCTCTTGCGCACCATTCTTGCTCGTGTTCGCCGGAAACATAGCTCCGGTTGATCACCGGTGAACCAGCACGGACTCGCCGGCGATAACTTCCGTGGCCTCAGCCGTGATTTGCACCCCGGTCCGGTGAGCCTGTGGCATTGGAGTGGGAAGTGGAAACCGTGGGCCCGGCTCGACTCGAACCGGCCCTGCCCGCTCGAGAGATATATATATATATATATATATATATATATATATATATATATATATATATATATATTATTTTTATTTTTATATAGTGTTATTATTTAATGAAATTTAACTGATATTTCTCAGAAGTTCAATAATTGCAATATCACATTTGTATGATATGAAAATATTTGTAAAACTAATTAAAGAATTTAAATCCACTGCTCTTTAGCCAAACAGTGAATTTGATTTGAAATCCTTTGTATAAATCTTCATGTATCCAAATAGGTGATTTTAAATTGTATGGATTTCAAATCCAAGGTATTTTAAATCCAAGGTATTTCAAATCCATTCGTTTGAAATCCTCCAATCCAAACAGGACCTTAGATTTATTTATCTTTTTTCAAATATTTTCTTCTGTTTTTTTTTTTTTTTTGTTTTTTCCAAATTTACTTGTATAATTATGGTTGCATATTTCTGTAAGTAATTTAAGTTGTTAAATAATGAATGGGATCACTCGATTGCAACAATGGTTGTGGTCGCATGTCAGATCCCAACAATTAAACCTTATATAGTCCGTCCTTTTTTTATTACGAGTCTCGAGTACGTAGATCGAGCTAGCAGAATGGCTCCAACACCAACAACTCTCCTTATATTTAGTTAGTTATAGTCACCTCCTCAACTATGTAATATCTAACGAAAATATCCCTCTAGATGTAAATTTAGGAATGCTAAATCGATAAAGCCAAATCGAAATTTCGGTACGACTGTTTACCGAACTGAATATACGATTTGATTCGGTAAATAACCGAATTACATTCATATTGTTTACCGAACTGAATATACGATTTAATTCGGTAAATAACCGAATTACATAAATTTTATGTAAAAATATTTAAAAGGAGGGAGTGGTTGTAATTACACAAATAAGAAAAAAATTTTCGTAGTTTAACCATACATCAGGGGTGCACGTAATTTACCCTAAGTATATAAATGTTCCTCTGAAAATTTGGTTGCCGTTTATATGGGCCGGATAACTACAATTTGGGCTTATTCATCACCAAGCAAAAGAAAAATAAAAGACGAAAAGGGAATGGGCACAAATTTGTACCCTAGACGAAATTAATGGCAAGCCGTGTCGTAAAGCTTCGATGATGGCAGAGGCGGAGAGCTGGGGTAGAACAAAAATTCGACAGAGTGAAACGGGATTGAACGAAATTTCATCTTTTGCAATTTTAAAAACTGATAAAAGAAAAAAAAAACAACTTTATAAAACACAACAAGAGAGATGGATGCATAATAAAAGGATGAAGATTAAGAGTAAATTGTCATTAGTATTCGTGATTAAGCAACTATTACGTACTAACTAAGATAAGTTACATGCCCCATTTTATTTTTTCGGCCAACTATGGCGACGACGGCTGCAGAAGAGTGGAGGAAGATGCGACAGGCTCGTGCACAACCGAATTTATAGATACGGAAACGGGGTTGCCTTCCAATTGCAGCATTATACTTCCAATTACTTCTCTCAGTAGTTTTTTGAACTCTTCTTCTTTCACCGTTTTTCCATCTCCAGCATCGAACATCTTAAGAGCCTCGGTCATAATACTATCCATCTGCAAATCATTGTGTTTGTGCGCGCGCGCACGTGAGAGAGATAGAGAGAGAAATTTTACGAGGGTAAATACGTAAACAAACGTATTAGTGACTGTTGCGACTTGCGAATGAGCAATTACCTGATTAACAGCACCTAACGGAGGTAAGCCAGCAAATGCGGCCAAAGAATCGAGTGCCAGACCCAAATATTCCTTTGATATTTTCCCGTGTCGATCTTTCGGAACACTTTTTATAGCAGAATCCAATGTCTGCATACATGAAATGTGGCCTTTCTTTTAACTACTTCATTCAATTATTATGCTAGGCGACTTGAATTACTTATGTGACTCGAACTATTTTCGATCGTTATTATCTTCGAATTATCTTAATTGTCCACTCAATTGAATTCGTACACACAATAATTTCAACAACATAATGTAATGCTATTTGTTTACATGCACACTATTGATACAATTATGCACTAACCTTTTCCAACTCGAATTTGTTCGACAAAAGCCTCTTAATGCCACTCCCGTCAAAAGTATTCTGACTGTGTGCAACAATAGCCGGTTGTTCTTGAAGAAGCTGCACCACGTTTTCGACAGCTTTGGCGAACTCCGACAAAAATATCTCTTGCGTAACTTGTTGGTCAAGGCCACCCCCAAGTGATTCCAAAGCCGGCTCCACAATATTGCTTATGACCTACAAAAAAGATTGGAGCTCGATTAAAAGAACACAAAAAAATCGATTTTTTTTTATGAAAACTATTTATACCCAAGGATCTGTGGCAGGAGGCATCCCATCGTCGACCGTAAGTTTCTCAAAGGCCTTGACAATGTAATCTTTTAAGGAGCCGTTTGGCAATTCGATTTCTGAAAATATGGAAACCAACTCGGGTTCGAAAGATGGGCTTTTAACGAACTCGTTAAGGTCTTCGCCATCGATACGAAGAATGACTACAGGGTCTCGTTTCAAACCGGCAGCCATGCCCACTAGAAAATCCGAAAGAACTTCTTTGAACTCCGTCTTGCTTATCTTTTCTTGCTTACCGTGCGTAAATTCATTAAGAACCTGGTATCATATCAGAAAATCGCGTTAGCAGTTCACTAATTATGGTCACGTTCTTGAGTTTCTACAAACACGTCGGATCGGATCAATAATACCGTAATTAATATTGCTGTTAATGAATAACATAAGTGGATAATCTAATCAATCAATCTTGAATACAAAGTGACTCAAGGCCATGTGCATCAGTCTTCAAATGTTAAGACCTCGTTTGGTACAAAAATAAGATCAGCCAAGATAAGATTAAATAATTTAATGAAAATCCAATTATATTATAGCACGAACAAGATCAAATAAGAAAAACATGCCTAAAAATGAGTCCATTGCAAAAAGTACCTATGTAATCTCTAAACAGCAAAAAAACCTCCGTAATAAAAAATACTAGCAAAAACCCCCTATAATTTTTGCAGTTTACTCCCTAAAAAAATAACATAATTTTTTTTCAGAGTCATCATAACATAATATTTATAAGTCAGACTCGTCATCAAGATACTAAAAATCAAACAAAGTCTAATTATTTAGTTAATAATGGCTAATCTACTCAAACAAACGATTAATACGAATAAACGGTAAAAAATAAAAAATA